GAGGGAAAAGAAAGTTGTACTAAAACAATTACTCCAAAGGATGAATGAACTAAATGAAGCTCAACTTCCAGCACAATGAGACAAGAAGAACTAGATGGCCCCGAGCTACCATTACTGACCACCTTAAAAAGGACCACAGAAGAAGACCCTCGATAAAGTGAGAGGAAATGTGGCATAAAACTAAAACATGTTTAAAAAGTCAGCCTTACTGTCCTGATAGAGACTAGTGTAACCCAAAAGACTATGGCCCTTTGTTGTTGTTAGGTGACATGTGCTGTGTGGAGTCAAAGAGACCCTCTGAACATCTGAACCCTGTTCTATCCTGCACCATCCTCACACTTGCTGACATATAAGAACCCATTGCAGCAGTCACTGTGTCAATCCACCTGGTCAAGGATCTTCCTCTTCTTCCCTGACCATCCACCCTTCCCAGCATCATGTCCTTCGCCAAGGAATAGCCCCTCCTAGCAACATGTCCAAAGCATATGAGGTGAAGTCTCATCACTATTGCCTCCAAAGGGCACTCCAGCTGCACCCTCTTCAAGACATATCTGTTTATTCTCTTGGCCTTAAATGGGATGTTCAGTGCTCTTCTCCAACACTGCGGCTCAAAGGTGTCAATTCTTCTTCTGTCATCCCTATTCATTGTCCAGCTTTCAGATGCATAGCAAGTGATCAGAAAGACTATGGCCTGAATTGGATGCTCCCTAGTCCTCAAAAACGCATTATTACTCCTCAATAATTTGGAGAGGTCTCTCACTGCAGGTTTTCCCAGTGCAATGCATCTTTTTATTTCTTGACTCCTGGTACCAAAGGTATTAACTGTGGATCCAAGTAAGATGAAGTTGTTGACAGTTTCAATCTCTTCTCCATCCATCATGATGTTGTTTATTGGTCCTGTGGTAAGAATCTTTGTTTTCTTGACATTCAGATGCAATCCATATTGAAGGCTGCATTCCTTGATCTCCTGTAACAAGTGCTTCAAATCCTCCTCACTTTCAGCAAAGCAAGTTAATGATGCATCTCCCTCCAATCCCGATGCCACATACCTCTTCATAGAGTCCAGCTTCTTGAATAATTTGCCCAGCATACAGACAGAATAGGTATGGAGAGAGAATACAACCCTGACATACTCCCTTCTTAATTTTAAACTATGCAGTGTTCCCTTGCTCTGTTTGCACAATGGCCTCCAGGTCCAGGTATAGGTTCTGCATGAGCACAATTAAGTGCTCTGTGACTCACATTCAGCTCAAGGTCAGCCACAACTTGTTATGATCCACACAGTCAAATGTCTTTGCATTGTCAATATAGCACTGACAGACATTCTTCTGGTATTCTTTACTTTCAGCCAAGATCCATCTGATCTCAGCAATGATATTCCTGGTGCCATGACCTCTCCTGTTAAATAATAGGCCTTTGAAAACCCCATGAACACAAGAGGAACAGAGATAGCAATTTAGTGGTAGAGCCCAGATTGGAAATCAGTTGAAATGAGGGGAAAAAATGACAAACATTGTTTAATAATTGGAACATGGAATGTATGTAGTTTGAATGTTAAAAAGCTGGATATTAGAAAAAAACAAAATGGAACGCACAAATATTGACATACTAGGCATTAGTGAGATGAGATGGATCAGCAGTGGTCATTTTGAATCAGATAATCATGTGGTATACTACTCAGGGAACAAAAGACAGGAAGAATGGGGTTGCATTTATAATAAAAAAGTCAATTTCAAGTTCTATCCTGAAATACAATGTTGTGAGTGATAGGATATTATCCATATATGACCCGTTACCGCGACTATTTTTCAAATACATTCTCCTACATCTTGAGCCAAAGAGGAAGAAATTGCAAATTTTTACCAAATCTTGCAGTCGGAAATTGACTGAACATGCGATCAAGATCGGTTAATGATAATTGATGACTGGAATGCAAAAGTTGGAAACAGTGAAAAAGGAATGATAGTTGGAAAATATTAGCTTGGCGATAAAAATGAGGCTGGAAATAGAATGATCAAATTTTATATTTTCAATGATTTATTCATTGCAAATACCTTTTTAAAAAAAGACACAAGCAATGGTTTTACACATGGATCTCACTTGATGGGCTGCATAGGAATTAGATTGACTACATCTGTGGAAGAAATCATTGGAGAAGCTTATTATCAGCAGTCAAAACTAGGCCAGGGGCAGACGGTGTGTCAGATCATCAAATACTCATTTGCAGGTTCAAATTGAGGCCGAAGAAAATAAGTCCACACAAACCAAGATATGATCTTGAATCTATTCTATCTGAATTTCAAGATCATCTTAGGAATAGATCTGAAGCATTGAGCATCAATAATCAAAGACTGGATGAGTTATGGCATGATATCAAGGATATCATCCATTATCCGTGAAGCAAGCAAAAGATTATTACAACAATAGAGGGGAAAGAAAAAAACCTGAAATGGTTGTCAGAAGAGATTCTAAAAATTGCACTGTGGCTCTTAATCACCTTTCAAATCTGCAACAAAATTCAACCCTATAGCACTACAATAGATAAGCCTATAAGTTGACCAATAACACCAAGGAGGCGCTCTTTAAAAAGTGCATTCACGCTCTTGACTCTGGTCAGCTTCTGTTCCCTGTCACCTTTGCTGTGAGGGGCTGTGTCCATCAGGCACGTTTGGAGTGTATGTGTCCAGAGCTGCTGCAGGGACCTTCTGAAGACCTGTTTGTGCTTGTTCTCTGCCTTGCTGAGACCCTGGTGCCCTCTCTAGGGTGTTGAGGGGCAGGGAGGGTGGGGCCAGGGGATAGCCCTGTCACACTGACCCAAGTCTCAAACACAATCACCTGCATGAAACTTATTTTCTTAACGTGGAAAAAAAAAGTGTCATTTTCTCAAAGGTTTAGCCCAGAAGGCAGGGATAGATGGGCCAGAAAGATTAATGGAAAGAGAATTATACAGAGGAAGTGGGCAAAGTGAAATGACATGCAAATTATAGTTAATGCTTGCTATAAAACAAAATGTGTAGGGATGGCTCAACGAAAAACCAATTGTTTTGTAAACTTTCATTCAAGTCACAATTAAAACTAAACCAACAAAAATGGTAATTAACTTTAGCAAAGCTTCTAAAACATCAACAATTAGCCCAGATGGGTGAGACTGAGACATGGAAAAAGTAGGATGTTATCAAGCTTCTGTTACTAAGTTGTGGATTGAGTCTAATTAACAAAACAAAGGAAAACTGTTTTACCTAACTTTACTAAAGTATTATCCTTAATCTAGTATTCTAAAAAGTATCTTTCACAGGTGAGAGATTGTTTACAAAGAAAATTTTTTCTTTTCAATTCTGACTAACATAGTTTTGGGAGAATATGAACATTGGAATAAACATTAATTACTGGTCTTCAGTAGGCCGGGTGCTTTAACCACAGTGTCACTGATGGTCTGCCTAAATTTTCCCAGGCCCCTAATTTAGGATTGCCTCATCTGGAGGAGGAGGCAAAGGACTGCACGAGAAGACTTTGTCAACTCCAGAATTCCCCTTTCTAGTCAACAGGGTGGATGTGCAGATGGTACATACATGGATTGGTGGTGGTGGAACAATCAGGGTCCAGCAAGAAGCATCTTCTGGGGCAAAAGCATTTGTTTTCCTGGGTCTCTGTTTCCCTATCTCAATTATTCTTAATTATTCAAGAATTATTTCTCAGGGGCATTCTGTGTAAGGCTTTTTGGTCATTCCTTGGGAAGTTTGAGCTTAAAATAATTTACAATTTCAATGGAAAGATTAGACAACAACAAAAGATAACTGTGAGTAAATGTTGTTGTTGTTATGTGTCAGCGACCTTATGCCTAACAGCCTTAAACCCTGTTCTATCCTGTGCCAATCTTGACCGCAGTCACTGAATCAATCCATCTCATCAAGGGTATTCCCCTCCTGCGCTGTCCCTCCATCCTTCCAAGCATGATGTCCCTCTCCAAGGACCGATCCCTCCTTGTAACATGTCCAAGGTATGTCAGACAAAGATTCAGAATAAGCAAATATATGTCCTGTTAATTGATATACAAGGTATAAAAACCATGTTGCTAGTACATTTAGGTGAGATGGCACTTCTGAGCGAGAAAATCAAGGATAGGGAGGATGAGGAGTCATTTGAGTTGGAGTTTAAGGAGCGACAGGGCATCTACAGGCAGATATGTGGGACTGGGGCCTGGTGCAGAGACTTCTGAAAGACTGAATAACATAAGCAAAAATGGCAGTTGGGTTCAGGTGGACACCAGGTGTCCTGCTCTGAGGGTTATCAGCAAAGTGGTTCTTAAACGGGATTAACCAACCTCTCACGATGTCCGTGTGGGCCCTTTGAGAAGCCAGCATACCTTGAAACACCAGGTAAAAGTGTGTTTATGAATGCATGTATTTTTCTTTCCCTCTTAAGAGAGGATGCTTTCCCCTATTCTCAAAAGCGTACGATGTGAGGTTAAAAATAGTATTCCAAATAACGCACAGAAGAATTTACGAGTGGACTGGAGGTATCTGTGGTTCTATTTTAGCAAGCTCGGGGAGTGAGCTAGTGCGCACACTCTAGACTATGAGAGCAGACAGGCCCAAGCAAGTACTGGAATGCTAGTCTTAAAAGCATAATGCCCTCTGCCCGCCCCTAATCCCCTACTCTCATTTTATAAGCGCAGTCCACTCACCCTCACCAGTCTTCCATTTCCTTGAGAGAAATATGGGGATGCAAAGGGGGAATAAAAACCAGTGACTCATGCAAAGACTCCGGAATCTCTTTTAGAGGCAGAGTGGAGAGAAACCAAGGCTGAGGGCATTGAGAACAGCCGCTCAGGTTCCCCGCCCCTCCGCAGACCTATGGTCAAATTCTGGGAATTTCCAAACCAGTCGGCTGGGCTGCGGCAGATTTTCCGGGACCATGGCGTGCGGTGCGCGACTCGGCCGCTGGGTGGCGCAGCACCGGGCGCCGAGCGTGGGAAGCGCGGGCGCGCGGGCGGGCTGAGCTCACACGCCCGGGAAGCGTCCGCGGTGGAGTTGGCGTCCGCAGCGGCTGCGCATCTCGTGTCTCCCGCGGGGCGCAGGCAGGGCGGCTTTCCGGGATCCGGAGTCCCGAGGGAGGTGGCGGCGGGGAGGTAAGGTCGGGGCCCTGGCCGGGGTAGGGGTCGGCATGGCGAGCTTGGCCTGCAGGCGGTTTCCGAGCACCCCGGGGCAGGAGTTCACCCCCTGGGGGGCGATGCCCTGGGCCGCGCTGCGCTCAGGTCTGCACCCCACCCGGCTGCGGCACGACCTCCGGGCGCAGCTGCCCTCACCGTGTGGGTGGCAGGCGGATCGGGCCGGGCGCAGCCCCTGGTGGCCCCGGGGGGCTGGGGCTGGGGACGTGAGTGAGGCCCCTTGGCCGGCACGTGAGTCCGTGCAGCTCCCACCTTTCCTTCCTGCGCTCCGCAGTGGGCGTGGTGCCCCTTTGCTGCAGAGGGGGCGCGAGGAGTTGAGAAAGGCTGTGTGGGAGAGCGCGCGGAGAGACAGGTGGTTGAGGGGGCGATGGTGCGCGAGGGCTCACGATGCTAATGCCGATTCCTTTCTCCCTTCTTCTTCAGGGGGCGCCGAGGTGTTTGGGAGGAGGAGGCGGGAAGGCCGGAGGCGTAGTTCGGGCGAGTGCAGATGCTGCGGAAGATGCCGCCGGGGCTCTGTCCTCTGGTCAGTCCCTTTTACCCCCAGCTCCCACCTTCCTCCTCACCCCCCAGAAAATGAATAAAGTGGATGTGGCTATAATGGTGGAGGAGTTTGGTGAGAACTGCTCGGGGCAGGCCGCCTGGCTCCCGCGTGCTACTTACTCCACTTGCTCTGCTGAGGGAGGGACAGGGCGCCAGTCATTGAAGACGCTGCACAAATGCGGCAGCTAGGGGGTCTGGGGGGTGGAGGGGCTGGCTTCCAGGTCTGGGGCCCCAGTTCATGGATGGCCAGCATAGTGTAGAGGGTGGGACCTGTAGGGAGAGAATACTTCAGGTCTCCCTCCCTACAACCTTGACCAAAATTTGGGATTTTGGCATTTGCCAGTGTGTTTAAATTTTTTTTTGCCCCCCCCCCCTTCCCTTTTGGTTTGTTTTGCTTTTTTAGAGGAACAGCAAATGACAGAGCAGAGGGACAGCTGGCCCAGCCAATCCTGGAGCCGCTGCAGAACTTGTTCCTCAAACAAACACGTTCTGGTGCAAAGGACAGAGAGGAGGGGGCTGCTGCCCACACTGTCTCCCCTACCCACAGCCCCCTGTGGAAGGGGCAGCCTGGTTGCCTTGGGATGGTGGACAGAGGCTGCCCGGGGCTAGGGTGCTACGGCCCCTCCCTGCTGCCCAGCGTGGAAAGAAGAATGCAGAGCCAGGCAAGTCTCTGTGTGTGTCCTCTGGCATGGAAGGAGCAGGTAGAGGCAGGGCTGGGGCAGTCAGGGCCTGGTGCAACCAGGGCTTGGTGCTGGTCTCTTTGGCATTGGTGGAGAGAGGGCTGTCCCTCCAGCTGTGGCTTTGGTTCCACTCTGGCCTGTCCCTGGCACTTGACGACTGAGTCTGTGTGCTTATTGGTGCCACCATGTTATATAACGCTTATATAATCTCCCAGGGCGAGTGCTGTGTCTCTGCTCTCAGGTCACGCAGGCACTGTGTCCGTGTGGGAGGCAGGAGGATCTGTGGCAGCTTGTGGGTGGACTGACTCTCCCCTTCCCCCACTCCCCACCTGACTTCTGGTCTTGAGCGTAGAAGGGGGCTAGAAGAAGAGGGGCAATTTCCCCCAAGTGAGGATGAGAAAGAGGGCTGAAGTGGGCAGCCTTTGCTTGTCCTAATCTCCCTCGCTTGCTGGGCTGTCTTGTAGAGGCTTGCTTAGGTTTTGAGCTTGGTGCTACCCAGCCTGGCAAATGAGTGGTGAGATGACCCCCCAGAAGGTTGTAATGGAAGCAGACATATGCTCCAGGCTGGATAAGGAGAGAGGGAAATTAGCTCTGCTTTTGAGGTTTTGAGCAGGAGATGCTAGAAGGGTGGAGGTGACATTTTAAGAAATTTGGAGCAGACCCAGGGACTAGGGGATGGCCAGGGAAGGGTGTACAGGGAAGTGGATCAGACAGCAAAGATAAACATGGTGTTCTTTTACTGTACTCTCCACTGGGCTGTCCCTGGTTACCAGGGCAACAGAAGCAGTGATGAAAATCATGCCTTTCGTTCAGTGGAAAAATCTGGCTCCTCCTCCCACCTCTTCCTTCTGTAATCATCTGTGACCCTTGGGGACAGTGATACCCCCAGGGATTAGAGGTCCCCATCAAGCCCCCCTTCTCAAATATTACAGTATTTCCCCCTGTTCTTGCATCCCCTGCTTCCCCCCAGAGCTAAGCACTAGGCAGTTGTGTAGGAGTTGGAGGAGATAGAGGGGGAAGGGCATGCACGTCATTGCAGGGCAGGCTGAGCAGAGTGTGGGCAGCGATGTGGATGCAGGAATGACTGGCACACGAGGAGGTCAGGCATTGATCTGCTCAGCAGAGCTGAAAGCTTGTTTCTGGGGTGCTAGGAGCTGGGGGTGGGAAGAGTAAGATAATGGAAGGCCTGCAAAGCCTGGCAGTCTAAGCTTGAGGTAGTAGGGCGTAGGAGGGCCCTGAGGTTGTAGTCCTGTTTAGTCTTGTGTCTTCCCGGTTTGCAGTGAAACCTAGGATTTATGTATTCAGTGTTCACTGTGTGCCTACTGGGCTGTTTGCGATTCTGAGAGTTGGGAAGGTAGAAGTAAATAGGACTGGGCCTTGACCTTGAAGAGCTTATCGTGGATGGAGAAGGATGAGTGTTTGGGGGAAGATTAGTCTGGCCTTGCTACCAGCCTGGATTCTGGGGCCCCAGGCAGGTGACTGGCACTATTCCAGACTTGGGGTGATGGATTAGGGTGGAGCTTGTGGGAATAGAGAGGAAGAGAGAGTTCAGAAAGCTACTTTGGTTTAAGGATTGAGCATGCGGAAAAGAAGGTGCTGAAATTTTGAACCTTAGTGGTTGACCAAAATAGAAAAATGAGGATTCAAATTTGTTTGGGGGAGTCATGATTTATTTTTAGATGTACTAGCTTCAAAATGATGGCATAACGTCCAATTAGAAATGTTGGTGAGCAGACAAGTAACGTTAGCACGGGAATTCTGGGGTGGGATAGGATTGGGGGGGAAATGGTATTATGAAACCATCAGAGGGCAAGGTTACTGCAAGATTGGGAGAGAGAAGTTCTGAGGCCTGGACACATTTGCCTGAATTGGATTAGGTTGTGTCCCTTGTAACTGCTTATTATCCCAAGGCCTGTCCAGTCTCCTGGACCAGTTTTTGTCAACACCCACCGACAGCCACCAGTTCATGTTCCTTTCTGAGGTTTGATTTCTGTTTGAAGTTGTCCTCTTGCTAGGAATCAAGTCCATGTATGACTTGAAAGACATGTGAACATACTTGCCTCCTCAGACTCTTTGACCTTTGCTGTACCTGGGGATCACTCAGGCCGGGGATGTGCTGTGGAGATGAAGGGAGCCTGCAACACATCCAGGTCCTTGGCCTGCAGTGCTGGTTTGCTTTCTGTAGAGAAGAATCTAGGCAGTCAGGTGATTTTTTGCCAACTATGGGATCTTGAGTGAGTCACTTTCTTTTCCAAGCCTTCCTCACTAGTCTAAGGAATCATTTCTTCCGCCTTTAAAATGTCTGCATTTTCTGTTTAGAATTTTCAGGCCAAGCTGTTTGGACAAGCAGCTAGCATTCTTTGGTGCTTTCTGGGAAGCAGAGGGAAAGCAGGGCCAGAGGCCTGGTCCTTGGAGTAGGCCTCTGTCTTCAGAGCAGATGGGAGCCCTCCAGTGGTCAGCCTCCTTAGCACCCCGTGTGCATGCTAGTCCTGCTCCTCTTGGTATGTGCTGTCTAGTTGGAACCAACCCATGGCTGACCCTCCACTGACTTTTCAGAGGCAGTAAACTTCACGGGAGGAGATTGCCCATCCTCCTCCCGTGGAGCAGCTGGTGGGCTGGAACAGCATGCCTTTCGAATCGCAGTGTAGGTTCTTACTGCTGGGCCATCAGCCTTGTTCCTCTTGGGTCCTTGAAAATGCTGAAAGAGCAAGTGACTTTCCTGTTGATCAAGGGTTAGTAAACTATAACCCATGTCCCAGGTGCTAATTTCTAGAATAAAGTTTTATTAGAACCCAGAAAAACTAATTTCTAATGGTGGAATTGAATGGTTGCGTCAGAGACCTTAGAACTCACACTTCTAAAATATTTATTATCATGTCCTTTGAGAAGAAGGTTGCCAAATCTTGGCCATAATCAAATCCGCCTCAACCCAGCCCCCCCAGCCCCCCCCCCACCCCATGGCTGTGCAGTCAGTCCTGACTCATAGGACATCTTTACCTGATGAAGGCCAGCGAGCCACTATTGAGTTTCAGCCACCAACCTTTTGGTTTGCAGCCAGATACTTTATCCAGAGCACCACCAGGGCTTCTCACTCATGCTATAGCAAACTGAGACCAAGTTATTTCTGAAATGTAACGACTATTCAATAGAATTTAACTGTCATATAGTTTCCTAAGTCTCTAAGGCTGTAAGTCGTTCTAGAAGCAAACTGACATCTTTCAACGAAGGAGAGAGGCTGGTAGATTCAAGCAGCTGAATTTTTTTATCAACAGATAGCTTTAACCTACTACCACAGCACCATTCTTGCCATGTTATTGTTGTTTTGTTGTTGTGCATCATTGAGTTGGAAGTGACCTAAAGCTGACCGTCCAGCGGGTTTTCAGAGATAGTTAATCGCACAGGAGAAGATTGCCCATACTCGCATGGAGCAGCGGGTGGATTCGAACTTTGTGCCTTTGGGGTTGCAGCACAGCTTCTTACCTCTAGGCCACCAGCACTCCCCTTCCATTCTTGCTATAGACCATCGTAAAAATGCTTTGGGGCCTATGCTGGGGATGCTTACTATTACTGTTTCGGAGTCCTGTCACTGCTGTCCAATCGGAAGCAATTCATGGCTGACTTTAAAGGGAGGAATTGCCATGGATTTGAACCACTGGAGAGGTGTGGCCTTTGGGTTAGTAGCGCTCGCTGTGGACTCTGCCACTAGAGTTTATTTTTCTGGGTTTCTCAGTTGTGTGTTGGGCCCTCCTTTACATTCCCAGGAGAGGATGAGGCAGTGGCGTGAGTGTTGAGGTAGTGTTACTGGAGCCAGCTCAGAGATGCTGTTATGTGCTGTTGAGTCAGAACTGAGTCATCACTGATCCTCTGTTGTTATGTGCCATTGAATCAGCAGCAGCTCAGTGTAAAGGGCATGGGAAGAGACTGCCCATCTTTCTCCCAAGAAGCAGCTAGTGGATTCGAGCTGCATGCTTAGGCAGTGTACCCCTTACCCACTAGGCCACCAGATCTCCCTTAGCTCAAAGATAACAGTTGGGAATCAAATAGAATGGAGTTTTTATTCTTAGTCCTTTACCCGGAACCTGGAAGGTAAAGGACTGCACTTCCCCATTCTCTACCTTTACCCCCCACTCAAGCCTGAGTTTCTCAGCAGGGCTGGGTTGTGGCCCTGATTTGACAAGTTACCTTTCCTCTCATTCTGATTTCCCAGGTCCACGGGGGAGGAGAGTGGACCGAAAACATACCCTGTGTCTCCTAAGAGGAGGGAAGACTCGTTGGTTCCACCAAAGCCTGTAGGTCCCCTTGTGTCTTTGCTGTCTTGCTTCTGGCCTCATTGTCCCCTTTAATGCCATCGTCCTAGAAATGCATTGGCGGGGAGCCTGCAGCACAGCCTGCTGGGTCTGTTTCCACCTGGCGCTTGCTGTCAGCACGAGGCCCTGTGGCGTAGGCTCTGTTGGTAGGGGTGTGTGTGTTGGTGCTTGTGGGCCAGAATTGGTACCCAGTGGTTTGCAGTTTAAAAACTCTTGACTGCCAGGTTGGCAGTTGCTATCCACCCAGAGCCACATCAGAGGAAAGGCCTGTGATACAAGTCCT